AACAATGTTTAGATTTGGACTTTAGAAATGTAAAAAGAAAAAGCACTCAAAAGAAGAAAAATACTAGAACAGTGGTGTAATTTTCGCATGATAATATTGATAATTATGACAGAGACAGAATCTTGATTAAATGCTAGCACTCGCAAGTTGTAATCTCAAAGTAATTGCTCGTCAACACTCTAGGAATTGGGCTCTACTTTGAGCAATATTTTTCTGTTTGGCCCAATAGATGCATGGCAAGGCAAATGATTATCCGTGTGATTGAATTAATGGTTCGTGGCCCTCCACTCTAAGATGGGCCCCAAGAACTCACGAGCAGAGTCGCAACACATTAAAGCAGGGGGACAGCGACCAAAATAACGGTCAAAAAGGGTAATCACACAAAGCCCATTTGTCACTTGAAAATATCTCGGCTAAGGAAATTGGCCAAGTGTTCATTTCACACAAAAAAAAAAAAAAAAATTCCATCTAACCGGCACTCGTAAGTCAATCTCGGTGTTAAATTATATTTCAGGTATTATTTTTTTAAAATACAAAATGAATTACAAAAAATGAATAAATGTAAGGGAGGGTAATAATTGTTAATATATGTATATATTAATAAGTTAGATGAATGTTAAGTATGTTAACGAATGTCTTATGGATATCTGTTAGAAAAATTCATTAAAAATATGATGCCCTCTAAGCCCTTCAACCAAAATTGCATGTCAGATATATAGAATTAGTTACAGAGATCTTAAAAATATGGAGCGCGCTCACCAAATGAACTTGTAATTAAGGTAACATTTGAAGCCACAACAGCTTTTTTTTTTTTTTGCCGGATAAAGTACTACTTAAATGACAAACTAGTCCATGATTTGAAGTGTATATTCAAATAAAAGTGAAGCGGATAATTGTTTGGGTTAATCTTTTGTATATTGACACTGTATATATTGATATCCTTAGATGTACATTATATGTGCAAAAAATGAGATTTAAATTCAAATTGATAGTAAATGACACGTATTTAAGAGTGCTAACGTATACCAAATTAATTCTAATTATTTTTGGAAGCATGCGAAGGAACATAGGATAACACTCGGCGGCACTCGCAAAGTTATCTTTTGGAAACTTATCACAACTATTATGAAAAGTAGTAGTCTGATGTTTCTGCACAAGCATGATAAGACCGTGATTCAACACCAAGATAATAATTAAAAAAGAAAAAAACTTGTGGTTGGGGGATTAGGCTTAAATGGGTTAATTACATCAGTCCACAAAAATTACTACGTGTTTCCAAATCTGGCTAGGTTGATAAATGACGCTCCCCGCTCATATGAATGTATCACAACATTATTGTTGGGGACTTGGGATTGCTTGCAGCAGACGAAGTTGGCGTTTTATTTATATGTTTTCTTCCGTTTTGCGGCTGGATAATGATAAAGATCTCCAGATATTGTGACCCCTGACCGCACTCAAATGCTTGATGATCATGATTTCTTTGTCAATCCACGTCAAGATTGACCCCTCATATGTGTGATTGCATTGGTGAACAAAAAATTGTCAGCACTAGTAGCAAGATATACTGTAGTAACAACACTAGTCTGATACGAAGCACTGCAGATAATCAGTTACATCCCTGACACCGGAACAAATGACAAATCACCATTGGGATGAATTTATTATAGCCGTTTGGATTGTTATTTTTTGAAATTTTGTAAAAAAAAAAAAAAATATGTTATAAGGATTTAATATATGAAATAAAAAATAATCATTTAAAAATATGTTCACAAAAAAAAAAAAAAATTTACAATCTTTGATTTTTAGAAGGGCGATTGAACGCTTGATACTTTTGCCCGGAAATCATTCACGCCGCCACTGTAACGGTTTTGGTCAGAAGGTGGGACGTCTGAGAAGAGCTGCCAGTTGCATGGTGTTTGGTAGTCGTCGTGGACTACAGGCATGGGACCGTTGGAATTTCACGACTTGCAGCCCACTAAGCCATTGGGTATTGGGTACGGCAACGACTTCCGTGCTGTGTTTCCTGATTCGATTTGATTGGCCCAAATGGGTGATTGCCCGCTTTCAAGAGACCGCAGTCCGGCTTTGTAGTTCCGTAATCCAAAGGATGCAACATTAGATTAGACTTTTTAGATTGGACAAAAGGGTTTTGCTGTATATTCGTTACATTTTGTAGAAGAGAGGAAAGTCAAAAGGGCTTCTTTGTTTTTGTGGACCAATTAAAACAAATGAATCGCGGCAGTTAGTCCTTTAACTGCTTTAGTTTCATCGAGCTACAAAATCCAGTGAAGATACAAGGCGTCAGCATGGGATAAGAGCACCATTTTGCACAAAGTCCTATGAAAATTTTGGGACAAAGCTCATGCGATTCTCTGATTATAAGGTAAGCTCAATCTTGGGGAAAAAATAATGAATTTAATTTGAATTCAGACTGCAGTGAATCATTTGTTAATTGACGGAATTAAAGGTGATTTTTTTTTGAGAGTTTGTCGATTTCTCTAGAGAGGTTTTGAATGATTTTTAGCATCTGTTTGATAAAATTAAAATATGAAATCTGAATTCTATAAATTAAGTGCCGAAAGTATTAAGTTATTGAGTTGATTAAATTATATCAGTTTGATAACTAATTAAATTATAATGTTGAATTGAAATGTTACAAAAATATCATGTTCTTATATTGTTCGTGCATTTAGAAAGAAAGAAAAATATGTATGTGTATGTGAGAGGCAGATAGAGAAAATAGTCAAACAATTTAAAAGTGTTTAGATTTTGATATGTGAATTGCACAATTTATTTTGTAGATTAAGAGCAAAATCAGATGAAATAATCACAAATGTATTGATTAGTTAGCTAAGTGGGTAATTTAAGGCTAAAAATAGTCTGATAGTCAAAAGTTAACGCGAGGTATAATTTAATGATTGGCGAAAATTTTTGCTCTTTTTTAAACTTTTACTTTGTGTGTAAAGGTAGATGATAACGTGTGACTACCTCATTTGTTTAAGGGGTTAAAGTATTAATGCTCCAAAACAAAATAGAGAGAAAAGATTGATAACAAATATTAAATATTTCATGCTATTTTCAAAGATAGTGACAAGTGAACTCCATACTTAAACCTACAGTAAAGTTAAAACTCCTTGCTGTTTAAGAAATAAAAAATAACAATAAAACTTAAGCAATAAACAAAAACAAAATGATCAGAGATTGAATGTGGAGACCATGTAACATCAAGGCCCCGTTTGGCAAGTGAGTTTTTTGGGTGTTTGTCTAAAATGTTACTGTAACTTACTGCAGAAGTTTTTAAAAATATTTTTGAAGTGTGTTTTTTTTTTTTTAATATTTTGAAGTGTATAGTTTAAAAATTTTGAGAAATTTTTTGATGTTATCGTAGTTAAAGTTTTTAAAAAACTTGTAGCAGACAAACTTGGCAAAAAAACTTGTCTACTTGGCAAAAAAACTTGTCTACCAAACAAGGCCGAAGTTTGTTAATTGTCATCATACTTGGTTAGCTAGCAGTTTGTACCATTTTGTAGTTGAACTGCTGGATGAAGATATCAAAATCGTCAAATTTGGCTACTATTAGGACGGAGCGTGACTTGATTTGACTTAGCATTTGAACTAAAACAAATTAGAATCTACATACAGTATATTACCTACCACATCAACTCTTACAAATATTCCCATGAATTGTTCAACACAACTCCCTCTTACTGTTCCTTGATAGTAGTAGTACTTTATCCTCATAAACGATCAAACCTGAAACGATAATATAATTAAGGGTTAATCACATTTTATCCCCTTAAAGAATACCTCATTTCTCAGTTTACCCCTTAACCTTTAATTTTGCTCACTTAACCCCCTTTAGGACAAAATTGCCCTTACATTATTTTGACTTTTCATTTACCTTGTTTTCCTTTCTTTTATTTCATTTTCCCTTTCCCACAAAAATCTTCACCTTAATAATTGAAATTAAAAAAGAGGAATTGCAGAGATCTATCTTCTCCTTAAATGATTAAAAAAAATATTCAAATCACTTTCCTAAAATACATTTTTTTTAGCCTTTCAATTCTTTTAATTTTGGATTTTCCTCTTTCCTTTCTAGTTTCTCATTTTATTCTCAAGAAAATATCTTAAGATGAAATTGTGACCTGATTAATAATCATCAATTGAAATTTGTAACACGTAACATCATACAAAAAATCAAAATTAGTTATTGATGACTTTTAAACCTTCACCCAGAAATATGCAATTACAAACTCAAAACAAAAATTTTCGTTGAAATGAAATTTCTATTGGGAAGGATGAAAGAGAGAAGAAAGAGAAAAAGAAATAAAAGAAAGGAAAACAATTTCATCTTATGATATTTTCTTGAGAATAAAATGAGAAACTAGAAAGGAAAGAGGAAAACCCAAAATTAAAAGAATTGAAAGGCTAAAAAAATTGTATTTTAGGAAAGTGATTCGAATATTTTTTTAATCATTTAAGGAGAAGATAGATCTCTGCAATTCCTCTTTTTTAATTTCAATCATTAAGGTGAAGATTTTTGTGGGAAAGAGGATGAATTAAATAAAGAAGAAAGAGAAAAAGAAAGAAAAGAAAGAAAAACAAGGTAAATGAAAAGTCAAAATAATGCAAGGGCAATTTTGTCCTAAAGGGGTTAAGTGAGCAAAATTAAAGGTTAAGGGGTAAACTGAGAAATGAGGTATTCTTTAAGGGGATAAAATGTGATTAACCCTATAATTAATCCACGCATGAAAGTATCTTTCATCATTCTCAAAATTAAATGCCAAGACGAGGAAGAATTCAAAAGACTTTTGCAATTCCATGAAATCCACGAAAGCTCGGACACATTCATTGATTCACAAGAGGCCAAATCGGAAAGTGCCTGTCGATTGAATTAATATGTTGTTTAGCGAAGAAAAGAGTTCAATGTGTTGTCAAGTGGGTCCGGCTCTCAAGTCCTGATGCGGCCATGTGTGCAAACAACTTACAACCGTCTCAAGGAAAAGACGACGTTTGTCCGAATTTCGTAAAATTTCCCTCTCTTTCACTCCCTGTCTCACGCATCAGCCAGGGGCCAGCCCAGGCGCCAACTCTATACCAACTGCTTCTCCAGAACTTCAAAATTTCGAATTCGATGATAATGATGATCTTCTTCTCCTTGCATTGATCGAAGTTCATAGAAAATTGAGATGGCTTCGATGAAGAATTATAGTAGGAGTAATAGTAGTAATAGTTATGACTACTCGTTCAAGATTTTGTTAATAGGTGATTCAGGTGTTGGCAAAAGCAGTCTGGTGCTCAGTTTTATTTCGCAACAGTATCTGCAAGATCTCTCCCCCACCATTGGTACAATCAGTCTTACTTCCTTTTATTTCTGTCTGCTCTCTGCTTATTTATTTAGCGACTAAATTGAATTATTGGTTTAAAGCTCAGTATCGTTAGTATTTTTAGTTTTGAGTTCATCGAGGACTCAATCTTGGTTCTTGGAAGCTTTTGTCCATTAGGGGCCATTTTTTTTTGTTGGGATTTTTGGATTCAATATAAAAGTTTATGGTAGTTCTTGGTATGTATACTTGCTTTCTAATTTTCTGATTTATCTAAATTTTGGTTTGTGAATTCCGTGAGTATATGATACACTTCTTTGTTTGGGATGTAATGAACTTTACATAAGGTGTAATTGGGTGAGCTTCATTCCTTAAACGGCAGAATTCAATCTTTCTGTATTAAGTCTTGCTGATGATGTAACATCTGCAGGTGTAGATTTCAAGATAAAGCTGCTGACGTTTGGAGGGAAGCGAATGAAACTAACCATATGGGATACAGGTTTTTATACGTAAAGCTGAATTGGAGTTCTTGTAGATATTACTGCTTTTCATTTCTATTTCATCTAGATATATGATTTGTAATTGGGTTACATAAACGTTGTATATTATTCCATATTAGCAGTTCTCACAATTCCAATTGAATTCGTCCCTGCTTTTCTTTTTCTTGTCGAAAGTATTCCACCCAAAAAATTTGAAAGAGCTTGAGAAAGCACTGACATGGGAAGACTTGTACGCATCTGTCATGCCCATAAGAGCTGTGTGCTCTAACAGTTGTAGGCTAAATCTCCTCCTACAAAGCTAAGGGTATAATTGAGACGGAGGAACAAGGGATAATGCTTGATTTACATAACCAAACTTCTATGTGATAATAGAATTGTAAGACTAGAAATGGAATCTGGTGTTTTAGATCGCAGACCAGAATGCAAACAATTGTTTTTTGTACTCTTGAAATGCATACTCTCTTCTTTTGTTGCCTCGTAATGTTTCTGGTCACATGGGAATGTCTTTCTCTTTTAGAGGGGTGGTGTAAATGCATGTTTTGTTTGTGCACTGCAGCTGGACAGGAGAGATTTGGAACATTAACAAGCTCATACTATAGAGGGGCACATGGAATTATACTTGGTAAGATATCAAACCCTTTCCTGAATCTTTTTTGAGTGATTACATAGCTCAAATAGTAGTTGAGGTTGAGCTTTGTTCATTTAGTTTATATGACCGAGGTGCTAATATATGTCTTAGCATGAACTGTTGTCTGGTGATGGCATATCTTATTAATTGTCTAACCTCTGGAGCTAGAACAATCTGTAATAGTTCGTAAAGAGACCATGCTGTTGAGGAGTTTGGATTTGGAGAGAAACCAATGAAGAGGCTTTGAGCTCTCATATCATACTTAGTATGCCAGCCTTGTGGCCACGTTGCATCATAATCTATATTTATTAACTTAAATGACCAGCACCCTTCTGTTCCAAAGCAGGGTTCTAGTCTAAATTTAATGACAAGTTTGTTTTTAGTTTCTTTAATCTATTGGTACATCCTTGGGCGTGCAAGTGATTGAAGAGCAGACACAAGAAAGAAATCCAGGGTTTCACTAAGATTTCAGTTAGCATTTTCGAGTTCAAGTTAGAAATATATACAAGCTTAATATCCTGTAAGAAGTTGTTCAACTACCACTTATTTAGTCATCCCTTGTAAGATATGTTAATATTATCTCCTTTTGGTTTTCTGTGGGGGTCTTTGCACTAATTGGTGAAGATAACTGCTTTAATGTTTGTTGCTCCATTTTAGTTTATGATGTAACAAGGCGAGAGACTTTCACAAACTTATCAGAAATTTGGGCAAAGGAAGTAGAGCTTTACTCCACAAATCATGATTGTATCAGGATCTTAGTCGGGAACAAAGTCGATAGGGTGAGTTACATGCCTACCCTTTTTAACATATTCAGATTCTACCAAAGTTACTAATATGAAGGATATTTTTAAGATTAGAATCGACCTCTGCCATCACAAAAGGATCCGTCTAAGATTCTGCTGGACAATATAGTTGGAAGGAAGGATATTTTTAAGAAATTTAAACTTTCTTTCTATAAAAGATTCTGGTGATTTCAAAAAATTCGGTGTACTTCTAGAAAATGCATCAATCAGTGCAGATATATGCAATGACCTTTTAAGAAAATATTTATAGAAATTGCTTTACTAATTCTATAAGAATCATCAAATATCCTTTTCTAAGGTTCTGTCATGGTTATTTGAAAAGGATGGGAGGTCCTCATTTTACTCATTTTCAGGATGTGTAACCGTAGAAGGGCATGCTAAGCACAGTGCTAAAGCAAAGGCAGCATGTTCTGCATGATTGTTGTCTTTTTATTCTGGATTTTATGACAAAATGCAAATGGTTCAAGCTTTACATAATTATTGGGCAAAATGGTAGAGTTGACCTAGATTTCTAAGCTGAAAGACTCTCAGCTGAGGTGATTTATTAAGCTAAGAGGTTAGATGGTGTTGTGTCTTTGCACTACAGACTATTCTTTTAACATCTATTGTGTTCAAACATCAGCTCCAAATTTTGAAAACTGTATAATTCTTACTGTATTTTGGCTCTTTTTGTTTGCCATTAGTTTTAAAGAACTTTGATCAGTTCTTGGTGCTACCATCGTGATTATGAAGGGTGGTATTTTCTTGCTTAGTACTTTCGCTAACTGCTCTATTACTTGCAGATACTTGAGGCTCCTAGTTTATTGGAGAAAGGATCTACAGCTGTGAAGAAGCAGATTTTAGAAAATAAGCAGCTTTACCAGGCTGAAAGTAGAAGTAATTGTTGTTCTTAAAATGATTATGGGTGGAAAAGTAAAATGTAGACACTCGCATCCCTTTTGGCGTTGTTAGCATTGGAAGGCAAGAAGAGTGTGCCAGTGGTGTTGTTTGTAAAGCAAGATGAGGTTCATTTATAGCATATAGTGTTTGTAAATTTGACTTTTTTTTTATTCATCAAGTTTTAATTACCTAGCAGGTTTTTTGGAAGGATAAAATTTGTCATGTAACTCGAGCGGAAGCTAAACACAGCATTGTTCATATACAAGTACGTGATGAATTGATCATCATGGCTTGTACAAAAGAGAGTGCCGTAACATTTTTCTCTTCTTTTATCTGTTACACTTGCTTGATTGCACGTTAATTTGCCATTACTGCAGTGAAATAGAATTATGTTCTTTTGTCAATCAAACAGTATAACGGTGGCCAGATTAGTACTAGACCAAATACAAATATCGATTGGTTTTGTATGAGATGATATTTACATAGACTTGAGGAGGCCGACTTAAGTTTCAGGATTTTGATTAACGTACTACAAACTCATCTTGATGTCTGATTACCTTATAACCGTAGGGCTGAAATCCACAGTAGTTCACTACAATAAACCTCACTTTTAGCACAATCTTTTGTTTCCATTCTTTAAACTTTGGTAAACTATGTTCTCCAGCAAATTAGCAGTCTATTCTTGTTTTTTTTTTTTTTCCTTCCTTCAAATTTAGTACTAAAAATCTTTTTGTTGGCCGATCCATTTAGTTTCTGAGAAGAAAAATGAGGTTTGGACACTGTGGATTGTGTGTTACCTAGACAAAGCTATTGGTCTGCTTTTTTGTTTCTTCTAATAAGTTTTTGGGTAAATTGGATGGGATTCTGATCATTCTGGATTGAATCCCTGACTGAGTCGGAACACAAAAAAGTGGATATCAGAAATTTATGATTTTATCATAATCGAGAGATTTGGAATAAGGTCGAGGACATAATTATATTATGTGACTAGTGTTTGAAACTGTCAAGCTTTACAATTTGCCAGTCGGGAAAAAACTCCAACTGCAAGAAAACAGATGGGCAATATCAAACGTTATGTTGTTTGTTTCCGGGAAAGTGAAGATCATGAGATTTTTAGCCTTGCGAATCTCGGATATGATATGCCACAGCAGAAGCATTCAAAGCTACTATGGAATCAACTAGAAATATAGCTGGACAAAGTGACTAGCATTTCTGAAGAATTTAAGAAGTAAGAAACACCAGTGCTCCATGATCTTCACTTTGCCGGCTTTTATACTATAGAGAGGACAAAGCAGCATTGATATTCTCACTTTTGTTTGGTTCTCCTTGCTCATTTTTTCACTTAGATGATTATTTTCTGAAAGAGAAGCTTCTTGTTTAACCTTGTTTAATCTTCTGCGAGTGACAAGAATTTAGAGAAAAGCACTTGATTACATTCAAATGGCAACTTTGAGCCACTGCAGGTGGCTAATGACATGTGCTATAGTTTTTCCTGTGCTTCTTGCTAGAACAAATTGCATTGACATCTATCATGAATGGGTGGTTTCTTTGGATTCCACCATTAAACCAGTTTCATCTCCTCAGCCTGTAGGTGGCTAGACCTTTTCATACTGAATAGCAGTCGTGTGACATTTGTAGATTGGTTTGTTAACTGCATAGATTGATGTATTTTGCAGGTTATAACTATTAATGGAATGTTTCCAGGACCTCTCATCAATGCCACAACTAATGATTTTGTTCATGTGAATGTCTTCAACAACCTGGACGAACCTTTCCTTATAACATGGTATGATCTTCATGCCTGGCGTACTTTCTGCTTTTAGTTGAAGAATGTTCTAACCTTTTGACAGGATGACAGACCAAATCAAGGCTTCACTGCATTAAGAAACATTACTGCATATTGCGGTTTAATAGCAGTAAGAATACTAATCTTAACCTATCATTGGGATGCTTAAGTTGATTCAAGTTGGTAGTTGTCCAGGAATGGCATTCAGCAGAGATTGAATTCATGGCAAGATGGAGTTTCAGGCACCAACTGCCCCATTCTACCTGGCACAAACTGGACTTACGTATTTCAGACCAAAGATCAGATTGGAACTTTCACCTACTTCCCCTCCATCAATTTTCAGAAGGTTGCTGGAGGATTTGGTCCAATTCGAGTTAACAACCGGGTGGTAATTTCAGTCCCCTTCGGAAAACCAGAAGCTGAGTTTGATCTTCTCATTGGTGACTGGTTTAATGTTGACTACAGGGTAATCAACATAAAATTTAAATAGATTATAAAACTGGAGCACAAAAGTACACTCCTTTAGTTCATTCAACCTCTGGAATGTGGTTCAGGTTATAAGATCTTCCACACAACGCAAGTTCCCTGTATTTGGTGCTGTTCCTGATGTAATGCTGATGAATGGAAACGGACCTTATGGACACCCTGACTCAAAAACACACGAGTCTTTCACTGTCACAAAAGGTGAAGAGACAATCTACTGATTCCGTAACTCACCTTCACTTTGTTTTTTTTTTTTCAATATAAATATCAGAGCCACTTTTATGATTGCAGGGAAGACATATCGGTTCAGGATTTCAAATGTTGGAAGTTTTTTCAGTTTCAACTTTAGGATTCAAAATCATCAAATGGTATTGGTTGAGACTGAAGGATCTTACACAAACCAAGTAGTTCTAGAGTCTCTCGACGTTCATGTAGGTCAGTCTTATTCTGTTCTTGTTACTGCTGATCAAGATGAATCCGATTATTACATGGTGGCTACTCCGAAGTTACTCAATGCAAGTGATGGTAGCCCCCTTGTGGCAAAAGGACTGCTACACTATGCCAATTCTGCTAACACAGTGAGCGGACCTCTACCAAGTGGGCCTGATCCATATGACATTGATTTCTCAGTTGGTCAAGCTAAATCAATCAGGTTAATTAGCAGTTTTCTCATTTGAAAATTTGTTTCGTTCACTTTAAAGGAATAATCATGGCTACTCAAGTGAATTGTCAATCAACATCTACGATGAAAATTTTTCAGAATCTCATGTCTATGCTGTCTATATATGCCTTTTAATTGAACAGGTGGAACTTGACCACAGGAGCTGCAAGGCCTAATCCACAAGGCACCTTCAATATAACAAATATAACCCTGTCACAGACATTTATTCTCCATGGATCAATTACCGAAATTGATGGTTTGCCACGATTTGCAGTGAACAACGTGTCATATCTCGCTCCAAACACCCCACTTAAACTTGCTGATGAATTTGTTAATGGATCCGGTGTCTACCAACTTGATGCATTTCCTACTCAGGCCATCAATGATGCAGCTGCATACGGCGCTTCTGTTGCAAGTGGTATACATAAAGGGTGGCTAGAAATTGTGCTCAAGAATGATCTAGGCATGGTGGATTCTTGGCACTTGGATGGCTTTGGGTTCTATGTAGTTGGGTAAGCTGCTTGTACCATCACATGTTTTGGACTTTGCAGTATTGTTATTTTTTTGTGAATCATAACAGGAATAGATGATAAATTCTCTAAATTTTCAGATTTGGTGAGGGAGATTGGACACCTGAATCAAGAGCTTCATACAACCTCTTTGATCCTGTTGTTAGATCCACTGTGCAAGTGTACCCAAAGAGATGGACAGCAGTGTATGTGTTCCTTGACAATCCCGGAATGTGGAACCTAAGATCACAGCATTTGAAAAATTGGTATCTGGGACAAGAACTTTACATCAGGGTAAATGACGGTGATCCCAACCCTGCCAAGGAAAACCCACCCCCTGAAAACGTCCTCCTATGTGGTCAGTGAAGTCGCCTTTCAGCTTGTGCCTAATTGCAGCTTAGTCCTAATACCGCATTTCATCTAAACCATTCATTAAAATTGCTTTTTCACTGATGCTGTCTACAGGAATACTTGAAAAGTCCAATGCACCAATTAGTTCGCCAGTTGCACAACCAAGCCCTTAGCTACTCAAGACGGCTGTTCTGCAGTTCTTTCGGGACCCATTGCTCCTATTCCCCAATGAGGATAAACATTGCTTGATTTGGTTGATGATTCGTATTTACAACACTGCTCTTGTGATCTTGTAACCTGATAGTATCTTATACTACTATACTCTTGAGTTCTCTATTGTAATAAACGGGATACTAGCTAGTATTGCCATATTCATATAGATATGGCTTTATGCGATGATGTACAACTTCATAATTGTACTAATTACTTTTAATCGATTAACATTTCCTATTTTATTCTTCCTTCTTATTATGTTCTAGGAATAGATATTTGATGCCCACAATGCCTTGCAATTTGTGTTCTTTCAAAGGGTACGGCTTTCACTATGGAATTTCAGATCAAGGATACAAAAAAGAATGAGGAATGGTGGTTCATTGGCATTTATGCTGGTACTGATGATCAAATTAGGAGGAAGCAATGGGAAGTGGTGCAACGAAGAAAGGTATTATGGGGTCATAAGTGGATCATCACAGGTGATTTCAATGACATTACCTCAAATGAGGAAAAGTGGGGAGGTAGGAAAAGAGAGCAGGGGTCATTCCAAGATTTTAACAACTTCATTGAACATAATGGACTCATAGACATTGGATTTGAAGGTAACCCCTGGACTTGGAGTAACCATTGGTCTTATGAAGGGGAAATCAAGCAAAGATTAGATAGAGCCTTGGTAAGTCATGATTGGAGCCAGATTTTCGACAGAACCATAGTCAAACACATTGAGACCCTGGGATCAGACCATAGTATGTTGTTAATAGACTCCAATCCTATACAGGTTAAGAAAAAAAAACGATTCTTTTTTGATAAGAGATGGATGAAAAAAGAGGGGGTAGAACAAGTCATAAAGCATGCTTGGGAGGAGGCACAAACTGGTTCGAATATGTTCAAAGTGCATAGGAAAATTGCGAATTGCAGAGTGGCTCTTTTGAAATGGAAAAATACCTTCCAAGGCAACTCTAGAAGCAAGCTTGATGGCCTGAAAAAACAAGTGCTAGACCTTCAAGGACAGGATTGCGAAAACAAAAAGGCTGCTACTAAGGAGCTCAAGAGGAAATTAAAGGAGGCATACGATGAAGAGGAACTCTTTTGGAGTAAAAAATCTAGAGTGCAATGGTTGAAGGAAGGGGATAAAAATACTCATTTTTTCGGCTCTAGTGTTAAAGGTAGGAAGAAGAGAAATAAAATGCAAAGAATACAAAGGGAGGACAAAACTTGGACCACATCTGAGGAGGAAATAGGAGAAGAAGTTGTTAAACATTACAACGAGCTTTTTACTAGCAAGGTAGGTACCCCAA